ATATTAAACATTATTAAGTAGTGAAATGAATGAGATTTATTGACTAATTTGTTATTTACGTGATTATATGGAAAGTTGTTTAATAATAGAGTAATTATTAAGTAATTATTAAGTATTAAGTAATTAATATTAATATTAATATCTGAAATGGTATAGGGTCTCCTGCTTGAGTAGGAATACTTAAGTAATTAAGTAAGTATTACTTAAGTAATACTTAAGTATTACTTAAGTAATTAAGTATTAAGTAATTAATTAAGTAATTATTAAGTATTAAGTATTAAGTAATTATTAAATAATTCTTCTTCTTCTTCTTCTTCTTCTTCTTCTTCTTCTTCTTCTTCTTCTTCTTCTTCTTCTTCTTCTTCTTCTTCTTCTTCTTCTTCTTCTTCTTCTTCTTCTCTTCCTCTTTGTATATTTGTGATCTTAAATAATATGGTAAACTATAATTAATATGTTGTTGTTAATTTCGAAGTCGTGTCAGACCCGTCGTGACCCCATGGACAATGTTCCTCCAGGTCTTCCTGTCCTCTACCATCTTCTGGAGTCCATTTAAATTCACATCTACTGCTTCAGTGACTCCATCCAGCCATCTCATTCTCTGTCGTCCCCTTCTTCTATTGCCCTCAATCTTTCCCAGCATTAGGCTCTTCTCCAGTGAATCCTTCCTTCTCATTAGGTGGCCAAAGTACTTGAGTTTCAACTTCAGGATCTGGCCTTCTAAAGAGCAGTCGGGGTTGATCTCTTCTAGGACTGACCGGTTTGAACGCCTTGCAGTCCAAGGGACTCGCAGGAGTCTTCTCCAGCACCATAGTTCAAAGGCCTCAATTCTTTGGCGCTCAGCCTTTCTTATGGTCCAACTTTCACAGCCATACATTGCAACTGGGAAAACCATGGCCTGGACTATACGCACTTTTGTTGGCAGGGTGATGTCTCTGCTTTTTAGAATGCTGTTTAGATTTGCCATAGCTTTCCTCCCCAGGAGCAAGCGTCTTTTAATTTCTTGGCTGCAGTCCCCATCTGAGGTGATTTTTGAGCCCAGAAAAATAAAATCTGTCACTACCTCCATTTCTTCCCCATCTATTTGCCAGGAATTGAGAGGGCCGGATGCCATGATTTTGGTTTTCTTAATGTTGAGTTTCAAGCTAACTTTTGCACTCTCCTTCTTCACCCGCATCAAGAGGCTCTTTAATATGTAGTATATTATTATTTTAAAGTGATTATAATTAATTAATATTAAGCATTATTAAGTAGTGAAATGAATGAGATTTATTAACTAATTTGTTATTTACGTGATTATATGGAAAGTTGTTTAATAATAGAATAATTATTAAGATTTAATGTGTAAACCCGGACTGGTAGACTTGCTGAAGCGATGTTATTTTGTGGGATTAATCCCACTTTTGTGTTATCCCTTTTCCCTGGTCTAACTTTTTTGTATGTATAAAAAAAAAGTTGTGTTGCAATTTCTCTTCAGAAATGAAAAAAAGATATGTAAAATGTGAGTATTGTAACGTTAAAGTGGGAATTTCTTATTCAGAATTCTAATCACTCAATGCTATTACCCCTTGTTAACTTCTATTGCCTTTAGCATTCCACTCCCACTGTGATGCTTCATTATTTTACTTCGCAGGGGGATCTCAAAGGATAGCTTTTTTAATATTTTGAAAAAAATTTGCTGACATTTCTGTCTTGCATAGGTGCTGCTGTTTGTCTACCTAAGCAGCCATATACAAAAAAAAACCCCGTATTTTGTCTATTAAAATGTATAAAACTTAGATTACAGAGAAAAGGATATTAAATGTGACAGTTTTCAAATACCTGAGAGTGTTTTTATCAAGTAGCATTTGGATAAAATGATTCACTCCCACCCCACACTCTATTGTCCTTTTTAATTATTAGTTCCTTTCTAAAAAATTAAGAGCTTTAATTCATCCAGAATCCTTGAGAGGCTAATGAGGCATGCTAATTTAGGGTGAGCAGCATTAGTGTGGATTTTTGATCAAACAGCTGTTAATTTTGCAAGGGAAGTTACTAAATCCGAAGGCTACAAGATATGGCTGTATGTAGAAGATAACAATAAGAAGTAAGCAGATGGATCTGTGCAAACATTCTAAAAGAGCTCCGATTTCAGTTCACTGAAGTGGGAAAGAATAATTTGCATTTTTCAAAGGAATGGGGAAGACAGGGATTTAATTATACTAGAAAATGAGTTCCTGGTGAGAATGGGAGTAAAGAAGGCCAAACTAATTTGAAATTTATTATCTGGCTTTTTCAGAGTTGGTTGTTGATTTCCATTTTTGTTATGCATATGGGTATGAAGTGAACAATGTTTGGAGAAATAGTTTCTGTTTCCAACGTATAAACTCTTCTGGTTTTTTTCCTCTCCTCCCTTTAGCCCAAATGCATCACATTTGGTATGCATTTGAAATTTCTTTTTTCCTCCAGCTAACATTGGAAATCTTAGCTGTATTTTCTACCTTTTAGTTTAACTTCAAAAACCCTCAGCAAGCAAGCAGTTCAAACCTCTGGGAAGGGCAGTCACTATCCCCCCCCCCCGCAATGGATGACAAGGAAAACAAAAGGGAAGAAAAAAATGGAGAGTGTTGCTCCCCTTTTTTTTCTTTTAACATATTCATGTATGATTTTGCTCTGCCCATGTGTGACATCAGGAGAGAGGGAGAGGGAGGGAAGGAAGGAAGGAAGAAAGGAATGTTATCTTTCTTTACTAGAACATAATTTGTTACTGTATGCTTCCAGTCTTATGCACAAATGATCATGTGGTTCATGCTTATTATCTACCACCCTCTCAAACCACTTTCAAAATATAGTAATAGTCAACACCAAGCAAAACTATGCAATCCAAGCAGCCTGGCAGCATATGTGAAGAAGTTCTTGTACTGCAGCAATACTCATATGAATGTGCTATTTCTGGAAACTGCTCCTTCCAAGTGATGGTCTTTCATGTTATTGCTCAAATCATAACCATGAATTAAACTTTCCTTAATGATCCATTCATCCATTCATCCATGGATGGATGAAACAAAAATAAAGGAAAGTAAATCACATGTAAATCAGTAGAGTTCCAGCATCATATATAGTTTTCCACAGTGGCCCTGATCTTTACCAACCACTTTTAAACTATATTTTTATTTCACTTATCAGAAATCTGATGTAGCTGTGACATATCACATCTAGGAAAAATAGAGACTATAGAATGTCATATAAATTAATTTCAGAATATTTATCTCCAAAAACATATACTTAGATCAGACTTACCAAATTTGGAACCATCCAGATACGTTCAGTTACAATTCTCATCATTTCCAAATAAGATGGTCATTGGCCTATTGATTGGGGATGATGGAATTGTAATCTATTCCATCTGGTTGGTATGTGGAAGAGAAAGGCTGATTTAAATTCCTCTTATTTATGCAAAAGATGTCACCTGGAGAAGACTTAATCTTTCTGTTCTAAATATTTGATAACTTTTCTCACACATTTGTTTAGAAACTGTGATGTACAGCAACAAATCACAAAACACAGATCTCTTCAGTGTAATTGATCTAGCAAAATCTCTCTTGTTCTGTCAAATTCCCTTTGAATCCTTGATGAGAGTGTAAAACAGGCTATGGAAAGTTTGATTTCAAAATAAATCTCATAATCATAAAGGTCAGAATAGCTGAGTGCAATTAAGCTGTCATGATATTTAAAGGTTTGCTTCCCCTCAAGATAGCTAGTCTGAAAAGGGCAAAATGGCAATAGCAGGTAGAGTCCTCCTTCAGGAGATAACTGGTATGGGTGAGTCAGTCATAAGTGATAACTGAAGGCAGTTAAATCCTCATCTGGATGTTCGCTGACATCAGGCTGTACTTCTGCAAAATGTTTACATCTGTCTTTACTACATTCTGATAGGATTCTGATAGTATGAAAAGAAGTCACTTTTCTTTTTATGGGCAAGAGGCTCATCAACACAACAATGGCATCCTGGTAAAAAGTGAATGTGGGATGAAGGCTATTTCATACTAAATTGGAAATGTTGTGGGTTGGAGTTTCCTGCAAACTTCTAACTGACCACATGATACCAAAAACATCACTGTTGTGCAGGAATTATGAACATAGCCAGCAATCTACTTGTTTAGTAGATTATTTTTTAAATCAAGGAGGGATATGAACACATGTACACTCAAATACATTCCCTAATTCACAGAGCTTTTATACAGAGCTTCTCAAACCTCTGTGCTAATTATCCCTATTTCTGTTGCACAGTTATTGCTTCTTTCACTGGTCATTCCTCAATTTACCAGTATTGCTTTTACCCAAGAATGCAACTTTACTCAAGGTAGCAGAAAGTCCATTCAAGTCATACTTGGGATTTTTTTTTTTGCTATGATTCTTGCTCTGAGAAATAGACACTTGTGGAAGTTTGTTTAGGGTTTATATTGCAATGCATTGAGATTCAATCTCCTAAATCTGCTTCCATAGAAATTTAAGGAGTAATGTAATTCTTCTATAGACTTTAAAGGGGGGCTCATATGCTCTCCTCAGTCTGTCTTTGAAGCCATTGTATAATTATTGCACTATTCTCCATTGGATGTCTTAGTCTTGTTCTACCTATGACTTTCAAAATTATTTACTTATTTCCATCCACTATAAACATTTTTTATGAAAGAATGAGTGATGCTAATGGACTCTGCAGAGCACCACTGTCCAAATTATAGTCAAATCCATAGAAATGCCTAACAAAACAGTATGACAACCCCTATATCAAATTAAGGCAGATTTGGCCAGCCAAGGATCTCCTGAAAATGGAACCAAATAAGATAAAAGTCTTACACACAAGCTCAATTTAGATTTGCTGCATCCTTATTTATAACCCCTAATGAATGCAATGCACAGAATCCACCATTCCATACATCATTTCTGGTGACAGAGTAATGAAGATGTCACTATAGAATCACAGGACAATAATGAAAATGATATACTATGTGAAAACACCACACCTGAATCTTCGAAATCACTATTGTAAGTATTCCATGTCTCACTGATGCGTAGCAGGCTCTCTTCCATAGCTTGAATATCCATGTATGGACAGTTGCATTCTGGAAATTTGGACCCACACTGACACCAACAATCGTTGTCCTTGCAGATGAATTCTCCCTCTGAATTGCATGCACTGTAGCTCAGAGCTGCCTGCACAAATCTTTCTTGCAAATATTCGGGCAAGATAAGCTGAAGACCTTAATGGAGGAGGAAGAGAAGGAGAATAAGAAACAATTTATCTTAATAAGTGAGATAGTTTCCTCAGAACTTAACCAATCCTTTAGATTTAATTCTATCTACAATCAATATGTCCACAGAAGATGTTAGGTCACAGATTTACAAGCAATCAACAGCTCACATATATCATTTTTTATGACTTGTGACAGTCAAAAGCCTTCTGGGGAAGGGAAATGTTTTTGCAATTGATTGCTAGAGGGTGATTTTTCACATGCCAAGGGGAACCTGGCAACTGGTTTTTAGGGAATCTGTTGAAAAATGTCTCTACTAGGAAGAAAAACATCATAATGTTTTTATTGTCCACTTTTAAACAACATTAAATCTATATACCAAGAAAAACCTCCTTGAGTAGCTTTATGTTACACATTACTGACAATAATGCAACTATCACTTCAAATCATTGTACTTGAAGTGTGAATTACACCCATGTTTGTATTATTGATAAAACTACTTTTTAGTCTGCATAATCATTTTTTCAAGAATGATGCTCTTTTATTCATATTCATCTTGTTAATTTAAATCTATCCTTTGATCAAGTGTGTTGAAAATCATTTCTGATCCACAGCATGGAAGATGTTTTCTCAGAATAATACTATGATGCTGGAGAGTTTATAGAACAATAATAATTAATAAATATCAAAACCAATACATCATGAATTCTACTGTTCAGTGGCATGAGAGTAGACCCAAGGAATCTCTTCCCACAAAAATGATCTGATGCCTGTGTGAAGGAGCATCCTAATCCCAAGACTAAAATGAGAAAAAGAATGATCAAATCATTTTTTCTCTAGTGTTGTTGTAGCCATATGTTTCACTTATCTATCCAATTTTATGAAAGACTCACTAGAGAACTTCTCTTTCATGAAGACTGTCAAAAAAGAAATGGATTTTTGATATTGCTTTGGTTGTGAGAATTTTTTTTTTTCTCTTTGGGCTTTGCCATATACGTGCTTGTAGCAAAATTGATCAATGCAGTTAATAAACATTGTGGAACACTGTGAGAAGGTATCAAACTAATTGCCAGGTATGTAGCCTATGCCAGGGATTTTATTATTTATATCCTACCTTTATCATTTTTATAAATAACTCAAGGCAACACAGACATATACAAAAGCCAACTGGATGACATTGGGCCAGTCACTCTCCTTCAGTCCATCCACTTTACTAGTTTGTTGTGTGGAAAATTGGACGAGGAAGAATCATTAGGTATTTCACCACCTTGAATTACTTACTATGTAATAAATGAAGGATACAAATAATCTAATAAATTCATAGTGATTAAGAAATGTAGCTTATGCCAGACAGTTTCAAAATAGAGTCAGAATATTCCTTGGGATAATATTCTAAATTCAGGGGAAAAAATGTTGCATATATTCTTATGGATTGCACCACAGATTTTGTTGTCTCTACATATTTCAATTGAAAAGGAAAGTCTGGCAAACATGGGCTTAGGATTTCTGTCCTATTCTTATATTTCTCTGAATGTTGAGGTCGTTCACACAGTTTTGGCTTTATTATCAAGGATTTTCCACCCCTGCCTGCTCTGTGCAAGCATTACATGGAAATTGGGAAAAAAAAGCTCTGTTGATAATTGTTGAATGATAAGTTGGTCAATAAATCAATTCACTTGGACATGGGTACTAGACTGACCCATCCCAAGAGACAGCACACCTACCTGCCTGGACAACAAAAAGCTAGAAATGCTTTGCTGATTTGAAAAATAGAGGTTTAAGAATCTTGTTACGCTTAAAGGCTTCTGAACACAATATTCATTATTTGTTGTCTGAATATAGTTTTGTTGTCTTTGGAGAGCTAGTACATCAATATATTTTGGGTCCCAAACAGAATCATATTCTTATATTCTTATAAGAATCATATTCTTATTCTTTTAAGTCCTTGAAAACCATTATTTCTAATTAAAATAGTGTAATGTAGCTGAGTGGGTAGAAATAATTATATATGTTTTTTCTCACATATAGCTCTCAGTTTCCAGACCAAACAACAAGAAGAACTGGTTCGACACTATTTGACTGAATCCAATGTAAATTGCAGAAGAATTATCATAGTAAAGTGTTTCAAACTTTTTTTAAAACTGGAACAAGCCAGTCTACTTATTTTCAGTAGACTGAGAGTGACATAAAAAAGCAACCATTATTTATGTTTACATGCTTATTACATTCTTGTTTTTGTTGACATATTTTGCAAATGTTTGTAGCACATCTTGACCAAAGACCAAACAAATTAATGCATGAATTTTGAAAAAAAATGCCTTGCTGAAAGATGTATAATAAATATGCAATATTACACAGTAGAATAAAACATTTTAGAAATGCAGTATAATAAAACTGAAAAATTTTCCTTGTGTTTTATATTATATAACTCTCTGTGTACATATGTCTATTTAAATACATTGCAGGAAAAATATGAAAATAAACTTTGCCATATGTTAAACTTTTTGTTTGTTGAGACAATAATCACTATGATGTGAATTTTAAAAGACTGTTGTATATGTGACCATTTTGACATTAGAATTACAGTACATTATGTAACAAAACAAGCCTACAATTGACATAATAATTTTCTAAGCATTTTACTGATAAATATTAGGTCGAGCAAAGTGAAAACAGCATCTGAACAGCAAATAACTTCAATAAACACAGTGGAGATATGAGGCCCAAAGAAAATAAAAGATAAACCATGCTCGGAATTCACTAAAAGTTCAACTACCAACCCATCTCTATTAGAGGTCTATGCTACTGCTGCATTCTGGAGAAAGCATAACATTATTCCATGTTTCACAGAAAGATAGTAAGCAGACTTCAAATGGCAGTAACTTATTGGGAGTGGTCTTCTTAACATCTTTTGTACACACTAAATAAAGTTTTTTTTTCCAGCCCCCCACCCCCTTCTGACTATGGGTAACCTTAATAGATTTTCTTAATCATGAATAAGAGATGATGTTGATGTATACCATTGTATGCATCAATTTTCTTCTAAGATACATAGTTAATGATATTCTCATTTCTCAGAATTCTAGTCCTCCCCATTTTCTCTTCTCAAATATATATTTAGGTGGAATTCACTGACAATCTGAAGAATAATGGTTCCCCCCCCTACTCTTATTGGAATCCTTTAATTTCCCTTGAAACTTTTCTGTATTTGCCTTGAAGTTGGAAATAATTCTACTGCCAAACTTCTATAAACTCCCTGAAGGAAACTCAAAGAATGTTAATAAGATTAACATAAAGTCTCTGGATTTTTAATATCATCATTGCTTCCCTAAGCACCAGACAAGCAAAATTGTATTAAAAGTAAGAGACAAACAATGATTCCCCAACCCAACTTATTGTAATATGCTGGAGGATTTTTTCTTCTTCTAATTATATACTGTATTAGCTTGATAAAATTTCTAGCAATGAATTCCATTGCAGGACTATATATTGCTGAATTAGCAACACTAGCACTGTCCTTGAATATAGATATACAAACCACTCAATGGCCACTAGTATTTTTCTTTTTGATGCATACTTAAGATTTTTAGTCAGATTGAACAACACCTTGCTTTTCAAGGAACTTTAACCATTTTAAGTAGATTGCCATATATAACAAAGAAATAGTCCAGCTCAATATGTTGGAACTCCATTTAATAATCTGAATAAAATTCTCTTTTTACAATCCTGTAATCCCTTAATTCGGGGTAGGGGCAGGGTGACTGGATGGAGAAGAATGCTATTGGCCAGATGCTCTTCCTGACCCTATTAGGAGTTTGCAGCAGATGTTTTTTCTTAGCGCCCTAGGCAAGAGAAACATCTGCCATTACCTAGGATTGAACTCTCAATCTTCCAAGTGGAAAGTGAGCATCTTTACCACTAGGCCACCACATCACTCATATCCAACACTCTGAATGTTTAGAATAATTCTTTATATTTATTTATTTATTTATTTATTTATGAGACTTATATACCGCTTTAAGTGCAAGCACTCTCTAAGCGGTGTACACCAGTAAGCAATGTATATATATATATTTACATTGCCCCCAACAATTGGGTCCTCATTTTACCTACCCTGGAAGGATGGAAGGCTGAGTCAACCTTGAGCTGGTGAGATTTCAACCGCTGACCTGCTGAACACAGTCAGCTAAAGTGGCCTGCAGTACTGCACTCTAACTGATGTGCCACCTCGGCTCATATGAATATGAATTGGGATACTATCAGATAGTATCCAAACTGTATATTAAAGTAAAGAACATGGCCACAACAAAATTTTGGGGCCTGATTTTTTTCCCCCTATTTTGAACACAACCTTGATTTTTATATACCCGCTGAAACCTTGGGGAAATGGAACCTTTGAAATGATTCTTCATATGTAGTCTTCAGGCATTCTGTAAGTTTAACAACAATAGTCCTATAAACATCTTCCTGTAAGAAGTTAACAAAATTCCACCCACGTACCTTGCAACTGAATCTTGTTTTCTGGACTCTGTACCAAAACAGAACTGACAGAATCTAGGTTGTCATAGTTACTGCAGCCAAGAGGACCAGTCCGGGTTTCTGTCACCTAGTGAATAAATGAATGGAAAACCATTTGCCGTATTATATAGAAAAGGCTAAGTTTCCTTCCCAAAACATCTGGAACTTGAAGAAATAGTGGTCATTGTAACCAACACACATGACATTACATTTTACCATGCAAACTTTTTTTTTTTTTTTAGTATAGCATTTCATCAATAGCAGAGTATTTCTTGATGGTAGTGCTCGATTTTCTACAGATTAGAAATCAGCAAAACCTTGGGAAGTCAATTTTCATAAACCTGGGAGAAGAAACAACCCTTCTCAATTTTTATGGAAGTAGCAATTAGAAAATGGATGGTTAGTATGGGATATTCCAGAGACAGAAAAAAAAGGATATTTATGCAATCATTTGTGCATAAATGAAAAATATAGTTATCAGAAAAAACATTCTGCTTAAAATTATATTGTTGGTTTTCAGATATATAAATTACTTTGAAGAAAGATTGGAAGCAAAGAGAGGGTCAAACCTCTGGATATAATATTAAATTGGATTCAAACTGGAAGCACAGTTCTATGACTACTTTTTTAAAAATCTCATTCATAGGTTAATAGTGCATCAATTACTATTCTTAAAGATTTGTGTAACAAAATTTCTAGCATACCAGAAGAAACTGAAAAACTAAAATACTGCAGTATGATTTGATTTTTTTTAAAAGAAAATCATTGAATTGACTGAAAAAAATGGCTCTAATTTCTATTCTGTATATTTTTAAAACTCATTTTTTTGGAAATTTGGTAATAATCCTACTGGAAGGCTTTAAGTATGTATTATAGACCTTATTTCAGCTCATGCTGAAATCAGTGAGATAAAGGTTAACCATGAATAATTTGGCTCAATCAACTTTGATGGGACCCAAATCTCACTATTTTAATTCAAGTTTTGGATACGATGGAGGATGAGTTAAACTAGGAAAAATAATATATTTCCAATTTGGCATAGCTTCTGCCTCCTATGTTTTGGGAAATTTGAATTTGATAATTTTGTATTTGACCAGTTTCCCCAACTGGTTAGATAAAAGAATCTTTTAAATCATTTGCCATTTATACTGAAAAGTGAATCTACTTGCAAAAATCTGTCTTTTCCCCATCCCTGCACTTTTGGGGAAAATCTGTATTTTACACATAATACAATTTCTTTTGGCTAAGATCATGTACAGTGCCTAGTAATAAAGGTTAAGATGTGTTTATAAATTTTGAACAATGATGTAAGTGGTCATTATCACATAGTAGGCCCCAAATACATTTTTGTATACTTGTTTCAAAATATTTTAAAAGTATACAAGTCAAGGTATAATGGTAAAACCACAAAGTACACAGAAATTTTAATACATAAGACAATTATATATATATATAATTATATATATTTAATATATAAGACAAAAAGTTTAGATTTAGCAAGTTGAGCATACTTGTGTGTGTGTGTGTGTGTGTGTGTGTTGAATTTATAGGTTCTCCTTTAAATTTATCTTTAACACTTGTTATTAATCTGGGGGGGGGCTGTACAGCAGACTGACAGATTTTTCTCAACATGAAATACTAGTCTAAAAAGCAGAATAATTTAATTATACACAGGTGGCATCAAACATGTCAAAGAAAATAACTTTTCTCCACCCCACATTCCTTCTTCTTTGATTGTTTTGGAAGTCTCTAAATGAAAAGAGTCTAACGACTTTTAGACAAGCAGATTTAGACAAACAGATTGAAAAAAATAGAAGAAGATAGTGTTGAAATAGTCTGTCTTTAAGGAGCTATATCAAATTGCCAGCTGAAAAATAATAAGGACACCTGCAACTTTCAAAGAAGCATGATGAATATTCCATAGCATACATTTTACGTGTCTTTATTAAATATTTGCAGCTAAAGGTGATTACCTCCATTAACATATATTTCAAATAAATAGTGGTAGGGCTAAAGAGGATCATCAACACCTCATATAAACTAAAAGGTTCTCTAAAGTAGTGTGCCATTCTTCCTCTCATCACACCAAGGAGAAAGATGGCATCTGGGAATAAAATCATTTCAATTTGGCTATTCTTAATATGTTTGAGAAAACTATTTCTCATCAAAACTAACAAATGAACACTTAAGCTAGTTGCTAGAACATTCCTAGGTTTTTATGAAAAAAGTTTGAAAATTACTACATTAGAATAACCAGCAATTTATTATTAGCTTTTTTTTTCATTAAAGCAAAGGCATTTTGCTTATATATGTATAAGAAAAATAACATTTATGGTACGTAGCTATCCATCTTTGAACATTATACTCATTCAGTATCTACCATTATGATGGGCAGAATTCTCCAAACTAACAAATCAAAAGGCAGTGCTGAAATATATTTTAATATTTTCTGCACAAAGCTATTCTTTTTTTGTCTCCAACCTTGTTACAAAGGAGACTGAAAACATTTGCTTTCAGTCCGTCTGATGGTTCTTCTTACATATCTTACAATAAATCAATATTTAACATATCAGTGGATGTCTTGTTACTTAGCTGTCACAGAAAAGAAGAGATATCACTCTTGCAAACACAATTAAAAATATGATATTTCTCTGTTTTGACAAAAGAAACAAATCACATTTAACAGTCTTGACCCAGCCAATGAATCTGCTTTGCTGGTTAAAGCCAAATATTCATATAAAACATTGCTTAGTATTTAAGAGAGTGGCTAGTCAAATACTTCTGGGAATGATGGCAATCATCACTTTTGGATTTATATGTTGATTATGTTGGATTAATTGAAACTTTAGTTTGATCCTGCAAGGAGGGTCACGGAGATATCCCTCACACATTTTCATACAAGAGTCATTTGCTTTTAATGCACTGTGAATGCATAATGTTGCTTTATAATGAGGAAGTATGGGAGCATATTTACATTTTCCATTTATTCTCATTATATCCTGTAACTTTTGATGTAACCAAAGAACGATAAATAGAATAACCATTAAATGCTATGTTTTTGCATATTTATGTTTGTCCTTCAATGGAGGAGGAGGAAAAAGGGGGACTGAATCAGAGAAGAGAAAAAGCCTCTGAATCATGTTTGAGAGAGAGTGTCTTGTTTATTTTCCACTTAGATCCCAGCAGTCTACTAGTGTGCTGTTTAGTTCCAATCTTTGAAACGTTAGGGACTTTTCAAGAACATGTTTATTTGTCAGCCCTCATGGATAAACCACAAAGAAAGCAAGACCAGATGAGTTAAGTCTACTTTATTGTAAGGCTACAATAAAGTCTGTAAGTCTGAAAGTACAAACTCACTCTCCCTCCCACCCTCCCTCCCCCCTACCTCTCTTCCTTGATTTACAACCATTTGTTTCATGACCATTCATTTAAAAATATACAGAGTAAAATGAAGTAATATAAATACTACATACACACACACACACACACACACACACACACACACACACAGTAAAAATATATACAGGTAATTCTCTACTTACAACCATTTGTTTAATGAGCATTCAAAGTTACAATGGCATTGAAAAGCAAAATAAAAATCAGACCCATTACAGTTTCAATTCCTATTCCCTTAAGTCTCTTTGAGTGCACTTAAGACCTCTAACTAACCCTAAAATCAGGCTGTAGAAACATGAGCAAAGTTTTCCCTGCCATTTCATTTAAAGCAATGCCCAAAGCAAATTTGTGGTCCATATTTACTCATATCTCTTCCTATTCATGCTTTTTCTTGATGGATTAGTACAGCTCCTCTTTCAGTGATGTCATTTTTTGCTATCCTGCCTATTTTTCCAGAGCTGTGATCCTTTGTACATTATCCCATTAACCATCTCAAAGTGAACTCACATTTGAATTGCTACATTGCAGCTGATAATAATTTAATAACTTATTATTTTGCTCCTTTTCGACTGCTAAGCCAAGAGGTAACTCTCTGATGGCTTTCATTTCAGAAACCATCAACCTTTACCCTTAAATTTATCCTTCTATCTTGTGGCATTTTGTGTATTAATTTTTCCTGCAATTTCTCATATACTGAAACACCACACTCTTCTATATAAGGTGCTGATCTATTCATTTTCTATATGCTACACATTGCTAATCCAAATCAACTTTTTCTTTGTTAACTGCTTCCTTTGAATAAAAAATAAAGATATTTTCTTAAATATTAACTCAGTACCGCACTGGATTATACGCTAATATGTGAGGGACATGAATCTTTCCCCAGATCCATCTGTTGTTATGAAAAGTGGTTCTTATATTACCAGATCTTCCACTACTAATAATTCTACATACTTGAGCAAATCTGTGTTTTCATTTGAAGAACTGTGTGCATATACAGTCAAGTATAGGAAATAAACTGAATTATTATCTTTCTTTTGAATCTAGTATAGAATATTCTGAAATACCTTCTATATACAGTATGCTTATGTTGTAAGAATCAGAAAGCAATTATTCCATGCAGATAGTTAAATATGGCATATCTCCAAAATATGATTTCACAACAATAAAGGTTAATTTTTTTTTTTTTTTTGCCTGCTCATCTCAAAAATATTGTTGCATCTCACTTCAGTCAGAATAGAGCTGGAAGGGACCTTGAAGGTTTCCTAGTGCAACCCCTGCTCAGGTATACCATTCAAAAAACTTTCTGTCCAGTCTCTTCTTAAAAACCTCCTGTGATGAAGTACCTACAACTTCTGATGGGAACTGTTCCACTGGTTACTTTTCCTCATTGTTAGGAAGTTTCTCCTTAATTCCAGGTTGCTTCTCTCCTTGATTAGTTTCTATCCATTGTTTCTTTTCCTGCTTATAGGTGCTTTGGTAAAAGTTGACCCCTCCTCTTATGGCAACCTCTCAAATATTGGAATGCTGCTATCATGTCACCCCTAGTCCTTCTTTTCTTTAAACTAGTCAAACCCAAATCCTGCAACAGTTCTTCATATGTTTTAATCCCCAGGCCTTTAATTATCTTAGTTGTTCTTCTTTGCACTTTTCCCCAAGTCTCAACATATTGAAGAAATCCCAACTTCTTCA